AATAACATTTATTCTTTCATTTAAATTCATTTCATAAATCATTCCAACTAATTTGATATTTATTGAACTAATAGTTTCGACATATTTTTTCTTGAATAATCGTTGTATTTCATTTGAGATGGTATTTATATTTAATTCATTTATTGATTTGAATAGCTCAATAAGAAGTTCTATACAAGAAAGAACATATGAACCAGACTTACAATTTAGTGGAATTTCATGCAGAATTTCTGAAATGATACATTTCATTTGTTCTTTGTAAATATTACAAACGATTTGACTTGGAGAAGGATGAGAATATGATGGAAGTAAGAAACACAAACAATTTGTTTGATGTGATTTTGTAGAGAAGAAATGTACAAGATCGTTGTTTATATGTTTTTGTTTATTTAAGACAGACTCTTTGAGAATTGTCTCATTTTCTTTTTCAGTAATTGTTTGAATATCTGGTGAAATACAAATGACTCTTTTCCCTTCTTTTCTTATTCCTTGTAATTCTAATAAACAAGAAAGATAATCAAATGATGATATATCCTCTAATATACCTGCATTTATTTCATTGTTGTTATAAATAATTCTTATAGAAGATAATTGGAGAATAGAAAGAATTTCAACAATATTATTCGGTGTTGTACTTGAAGTTAGTTTATGTTTTTCAATTTCAATAAAGAATAATTCATCATTTAAAATTTGTTGAAATTCTTGTTCTTCTAAATTGTTTCTTTTTACAATATCACTTACAAGAATTGGTCCAATAACATTACAATTATTTGATTCTGATGTGGAAATCTTATTTGAAGATTTCAATGATTCTTGTGCATTGAGGTAATCATTTGATGAAATACCATTAATGATTTGATGTATGTTAGTATTTTCATCGATATATTGATCACCACAAATACAAATAAAATGGGGTTTTGTGCATTTGGAGATAATATTTCTAAACTGGTCAGACAATCCTTTAGAAATATCATTAATATCTTTAAATAAAGAAATATTTTGAGAGTGCATATTGATGAATGAATTTACAGATCAATTAAACGTATATATATCTTTGAATTATATAACTGAAAAAGTCATTGTTTAAAAATAACCATCAATAAATCTTTCAATGAAGTAACAATAAAAACAACTAAAATCATTACACTAATATCTATTATAATTATTTTCTTCTTTCAAACTACACTCAAAAAAAAAAGAATTAAAATACTGTTTGTTTACGGAATTTGTTCTTTTGTATGTCAGTTTTTTATTATTTCAGCATCATTTTTTATTTTGGAGTAAAATTAAAAATATTTGCTTTTATAAAAGTCATGACTCAACATCATTCTATTGTATTTAAATATTTAACTTCCACTTTTTGATTTTAATGTCGTCTGTATTGATGTTTTATTATGACAAAGTTTTGTTTATTTAGCTGTAATTTTATTGCTTTTAAATACTTCACAAACTAAATAACTCTTTTCATATCAAAACAACTCAAAATGTTTAAAAATAATTAATTAAGCTGTTGTTTTGCTATTAGTTTATTCTATATCTTTCCATTTCTTCATTCATCACACATAATTTATAATAATTTTTATATTGTTCAAATATTTTTGTACTTGTTCAATTATATTTTTCATAGAATCGAGTATAACACATTCTTTCTTTGTATTGATAAGTTTGTGATAATTATCAACGTTACTCTACAGACAGTTCGTTGTTGTTTGGTCATATACCCTGTTTCATTCATTCTTTATTAAAAGAAAATAATTTCGAATATTATTCTCTTTCTCCTTAAACACTATATTCTAATTTTTTATTTCTAATCACATAATGTCGTACAATTAGTTTAATATAACTTTTCTCACCAGTTAATACCATTACAATGTATCAAAGTACATTTAAGAATATTCCTTTTAATAAAAATGACATTCCTTTATATATTCTCAACACTCCATTCACTCCATCATCTGAGCATAAAAAGATGTTGTTAATGAATATTCATTCCAACTACAATAAAACTAGTTATTTAAAACCATACTGTCTAATAACAAAAGAAAGGGTACAAAAATTAGCAAAGAAAAAATGCATCTAAATAATTTACAAAAAAGAAAAAAGATGCAAAAAAATTTGCATCCATAGAATTTTCCATTTATTATATTTTGCTCCTAAAAAAAATAAAAAAATAAAAAGTATGATAAATACAGAATATATAAATATTTATGTTTATATTTTATTATCAATTGTATTCATTTTGTATGAAATATTAATGAAATAGATTATTTGATGAATTATAATTATTTGTATTCTTTTTTATTCTTTTATTTATATGTTATTTATTTATCTATCGTATTTTTATATATTTATTTCTCTGTTTATATTATTTATATCATTGTATTCTTCTTATTATCTATATATTATTATATTCTTCTTATTTTATGTTTTTCTTTTTATATTATTTAGATTTTCTTATTGTTATTCTTTTCTATTTAGATGTATTTGTTTATTCATCTTATTCATCTTTTATATTATTATCATTTATATCTATTTTCATTTTATATTTATTCTCTTTTGATTTATATTGTTTATATCTTTTATACTTTGATTTTATTATTATATCATTGATTATCATTTCTCGTTTTATTTATCATTTATTCTTATTATTCTTTTGTTTTATATTCTATATCATATATTCATATCATTTTCATTTATATTTTATCACTTATTATATATTATAATAACATAACACATATGATTGATTATATAATAAACATCATAATGAAATTACACATATAAATAATAAACATAAAAAAGAGTAAAATATTTTTCATCAATAAAATATTGTTAATTATTTTACACAATTAAATTAGACACTTTTTATTGATTATTTCTATTTTTTCAATAAAATATACAAATTACTTCTTTTATTACCTCTTTGTGATTTATTACTTTTTATATTCTTTCTTCTTCTACTTTCTTTTTATTCTTTTATATATTTTTATTCTTTTTATATTATTTGTTTTTTCGTTGACTATGTTGTATTAATAATTTTCTTATTTGTTTGTCTATCTTCTCCAATTCTCATAGTTTCCATGGTACAATACAAAATCCATATCTTAATTTGGAGATTATATCATTATTAATCATTCTTATTGTATTGAGGCTGCTGTATTTCATAGTATTTAATGATGATAAAATAGAAGATACATCATTTAATATTCTTGTACAATATTTATTGATATTTACTTTATCTCCTATTTCAATACCAAGATATTTATAATGATTATCATCAATTACTCTTGGTAATTCAGCTAATTCTCCATTTATTTGACTATTAATATTAGTCATTATCCCACTCTTTTCTACATTAATTTTTAATCTTATTGCATTAAATATTTCTTTAGTTAATTTGTGTGCTTTTTCCATTTCATTGAGGCTATTAGTCATTATCTTTAAATCGTCCATATACAATATGTGGTTTAACTGGACTTGTTTTTCTTCTCCATTCATTTTAATATTTAATTTGTTAATTTGTTTATCTAATTGTTTAGATAATATATCAATAGATAATACAAATAAAAGTGGAGATAGGCTGTCACCTTGTATTATTCCTCTTTCTACATTAATAATACTATCACTTTCTTGATTATAATATAAATTAAGATATGTATTATTTAATATATAATATACTATTAATTACTACTAGTGTGATATTAAAATATATTAAGCATTGTTTAATCCATTGGTGGTTAATACTATCATATGCTTTGGATATGTCATAATCTGTTTCTATCCACTTCAATTTATTCTTTATTAATAATTGAATGATTATAGTGTTGTATAATAATCCTTCTTTTGATGATATGTATATTTCTTACATCCAATTTGATTTAATGATAGCTGTTTTTCAATTTGATTTTGAATCAATTGATTTTCTATTTTCATCTTTAATATTGATGTATATACTTTTAACAGACAATTTAAGCACGTTATTGGTCTGTAATTCTGTGGGTCTAATTTATCTCCTTTCTTATATATTAATATTGTTCTTCCTTGAATAAAATGAATAGGTATTTCATTATGATTGTTTAACCATTCATTAAATAATTTTAATAAATATTTCTTTGGTTGTTCTAAATATTTAATCAAAAATCATTGTATTTTGTCAACTCCCGGTGCCTTCCAGTTAGCAGTAAATTTAATATCACAATCTAGTTCATTTGGAGTGATTATAGACATTCTATCATTAATTCTATTTTCAATTAATATTTCATATAAATTAATATTCAGGAAATCTATATTAGTATTAGTTTCATAGATTCATTTCCAGAAATTAATAGTGGAGATATTATCTGGATATTCATCTTCTTTAGACTTATTTAGGTGTTGTCTTTTTCCATATTTCATCATTTTATAATTCAATCTTATTCTTTTCCAATTATTCTTTCTTATTTCTATTTCTATTCTTTTCATCTTTCGGAGGTATTTATAATAGTTTATTTGTTCATTTGTTTTTATTTTAATATGATATATATCATATTTATTAATATGTATTATTCTTTTTAATTTCATATATTGTTTATTATGGAGTAAATCATTAATGAATAATTGAAAATATGAAAGAAGAGAAAAATCATTTAAAAAAGAAAAGAAAAAAGAAAAAAAAAAGAACTTAAAAGACATAAACATGGAAGAAAATGAAATATGGATGAATCAAATAATTAAACAAGTGAATAAAATGAGTATTATTCCACATTATACGATTAATAAAATTCCTATAGACAAGAATGTCATCTATCTTATATATGAAGAAAATGAAATAACGATGGAAATAATAGAAAGAATAGGAGTAAAAGAATTTGAGATAATAAAATATGACAATCAAGGAGTTAATTATATAGTTGAAATTAAAGATGAAAAGATGTTTAATGAGTTTAAAAGAAAAATGGTAAAAAAACAAGAAAGAGAAGAAGATAATAAAGATATATATAATATCATTGAAATGATTAATAAAAAAGAAATAATTAATAAAATGATAATTCATATTTCAAGTAGTATTAATAAAGAAAGAAAAGAATATAATCAAAAAGAAATAATACAAGAATTTATATATTCAACAAATGATTATTGTATAGTCAATTTAAAAAGAAATAATGAAAATATAATTAATGATTTAATGAAAATACGAATGAATGACATGTTTTCAAAATATTTACCAACAAAACCTTTTAGTTGTATTATATTTAAAAAATCTTCACTTTATCAAATCATTCCTTTTTCAAATAAACTTAATGGTTATATTATCACTATTCCTCAAAATTATTTTTATAATCAAAATTGTTGGGAATTTTATGAACGTCCTCCTTTTTATTTAACAACACCTGCTACTATTTTATTATCTTCTAATTATCTTATAGGAAATAATTTATTTATTAGTAAATGTGAATGTCCTATAATTAATATTAATCATTTCTTTGCTTTTAAAGAAAGACGTTTATCTTATAACTCTGATATTTTATGGGCAATTAATACTATTGAAAAACAATTGATTGCTAAACATATTGCTTCGAAATTTTCTCCTCTTTCTTTCTCTATTTTATCTCAACGTCTTTTTATTCAAACTGATATGAAACTCCCTCGAACTCTTAAAATTTCTGACCTTCTCACTTTATCATCTTCTAGAATTGCTATTCTTGAACCTTGGATTGATAATCTTTCCTCTTGTGTTAATACCATTGATTTTGTTGCTCTTCAACATTGGTCTTATTTCTATACTTCAAAACGTCTTTTATTTACTTCATTGCTTTCTTCTCATTCTTTTTCTCTTAATCCTGACTCTCCTTCTTTTGCTACAAACGTTCATCTAGCTCATGAAAGTCTTTCCAAATTTTTCTTTGCAAACGATGGTTCTTATCCTGAGCTTCAATCCCATCTTGTTTCTCATCACTGCAATTCTTTATGTTCTTCTTTCCCTCTTTAATTCTATTAACTCTTAATTATTTCTTTTAATTATTTCTTTTATTCAT